TTTACTCTAAGGGTCACACCATATTCATAGTTCATTCAAAAGGCGATGACACCCATTTGAAACCAAAGAATGATCTATCCCTGCCAGGCCTGAACTGTCAGGTCATCAGTTCCACCGATTTACAGGCACAGGAAGGAGGTGTGGTGCTCCAAGGACAAAGGACGACCCTGCCTGAAAAAGTTTCGAAGTGACACCCCCTACTGGACTCTTAATCAATCGCCCTCCCCACCATGTTGCGATGGTTACAAAATTCCTGAGCCCACCTGTTCCAAATAAGGAAAGGCATCTTCCCTGTCTCACTCCCACCCTATAGAAGGAAGGTATATGTGCCTCAACCATCAGTAAACAAAATTTTCACCTTGGACCATTCCTTTGTTTTCTGGCTATAAAAACTGATCAATAGCACGTGTTCAGGCTCGACTCTCCCAGACTACCAGGAAGTCAGCCCGCTGTTCTGGCAGCGACCCTTGCCTCTAATAAATTCTATCTTCTTTACATTCTACCTGTGTCTGGAAATTCTTTTCCAACCCGCCTTCAGACCACGACAAGAGGGTTTGTTAAAATTAGTTTCCATCCATAAAGACCATATTAATACTTTAATCGCACATAAAATCATATGTAAAATTGTTACCGAGTCCAAGCTCGCTCTGCTTGCTGCACGACAGGCCAATAAATCTGAGAGAGGTGTTGAGGCAAGGGATACAATACGACTTTATTCGGAAAGCCGGCAGACTGAGAAAATGGCAGACTAGTGTGTCCGAAAAACCATCTTATGGGATTTGGATGCCAGTTCCTTTTATAGAACAGAGAGGAGATGAGGAAGTAAAGTAAAAAGACCATAAGATTTGCAATGTCCCCTGGAATGGCCAGCCTTGGGGAGGGGTTGTGTTAATTTCTTCTTTCTTGCAGCCACCCACAGGTGGACAGGGTCAGGATGTTTCCCTGAAAAAAGGCACTTTGGTTCAGGCAGAGAGGCAGGGTTCCCTGAGGCAGGCCATTGTGTATAGACAGTATCCTTTTAGTGAACAAAAGCAACAGTAATCAAAGGTTAAAGTAGAAGAAACAGATCCAACATGTAGTCAGATTTGGCTCTTCCCTGTTACAAAATCACATATGTTGGAGGTACAAGATACACCTGCACATAGTGTATCTTACCTTGAAGTTAAGGAGAAATAAGAACCTTACATTTCTCCTCAGAGGCCTGCCTAGAGCAGGCCTGAGAGTCTTCTCCGCTCTATAATTCTAACAGATCCAGCCTAATCCTGAGATATCCCAGCTCTGGGGATGAAACCAAGCAGAACCCTGCAGGACGCTGCCTGGTACAAAAGCCCCTCTGTGTCCCCTGTTTCTTATTTGTAGAAAAAGGCTTTGGTCTCCTGGGCCTTACCTGAGTGCCAAAGAGCAGACTCGAGCAGTTACTAATTAGGGAGGTGAAGGAACACAGAAACAAAGGCAGAGCAGTCAAGAAACAATTGTTCAATGATAAACCAGCCCAAGTTCCTCCTCAAAGGATATGCATAATGATCTGACATATATCGTTGAGTTGTTCTGCAGAAACTAACATCCCCACCCAGCTGGAGGATGGTGGCTCTATGCTGAGCACGAGCACATAGACCCCAGACTGGTTGGAACCAGAAGGTTGATGATTAAAATTCCTGAAACACCACCCTGTTACCTCACCACCAACCAGTCAGAAGAAAGTCATGCCCCTTGCAACCCTAACTTCAAATGTTGCATTTAAGAATATATATATATGTATGTATAACTGAATCACTTTGCTGTACAGCAGAAATTAACACAGCACTGTAAATCAACTATACTTCAATAAAAAAACTTTGATTAAAAAATTTTTAATAAATAAATAATTTTTTAAGAAAAAGAAAAAATAATAATCCTTTCCTGAAAGCCATCGGGGATTTCAGGTCTTTTGAGCACAAGCCACCTGTACTCCTGGCCGGGCCCTGCAATAACTACTATACTTTCCTTCACCACACCCAGTGTCAGTAAATTAGCTTTGCTGTGTGGTGGTGAGCAGACACAAGTTCAGTTCAGTAACAGGGACGCCTTAAGGGATCTATTAACTTTGGTTATAAAAGGCATTTTCCGTATGTTCAAGTTTCCTACTTCTCTCCAACCTCTACTGTAGAGCTGGGTTGGCACACAGAAATAAAGTACAAATGCTTCTGTGCACTGCCACAAGAGATGAGGTCTAGAGAGATCTAATACCAGTTCTAGCCAGGTCATCCTTGCCCCCAAAAGTTCTACATCTTACAGGTTTTCAGAAAAGTGGGAGATTTTGTTGCCCTGTCTCAGAGTGATGTAGCCTGGAATTTCCTATATGGTATAGCTTCCAAAAGCCCTTGACACTGATGATCAGAGAAAAATGCACAAACTAAAAGTTGAGAGTTAAGTTTTATTTGGGGACCTTACTGAGGACTGTAGCCTGGGAGACAGCCTCTCAGATAGCTCTGAGGAACTGCTCCGAAGAGGAGCCAGGATATACAGTTTTTGCTTAAACAAAAACAAAAACGTAGTCGAACATGGAAATATTACTGCTTATCACAAAAAACAGACATCTCAACTTAATTTTAGGGCTTTACTATGTGTGGGGAAGATGCAAACATCTGGGGCTCACTGAAATTATTCCTTAGTTATGCATCTTAACCATCTAGGGCCAGTATCCAGAGCACAGAATGTTTCCTGTTTCTCTCCATCCTGACTTCCCCTCAGGGCGCACCATGGGGTGGGAGTGTGCAGGGGGAGACCTCACTGGCTGATGGCTTGATGGCGGGCAACATTCTTTGTTTACTGGAATGACAGGCAACATTCCCGTTCCATAACACTTAGCACATTGTTTTTTAGGTACTTGTTTATACATATACCTCCTCACTAGACTTTTCATCCATTTCTTTCTCCAGTAAGAACTGACTGTGTACTCTGTGCCACACTGTGTCCTAGGGGCTGGCAGCAAAGCTGAGAAGAAGACAAGATCCTCCAGGAAACTTGGGCTCTAGCGGAGGGAAAATGATAATAAATGAGTCCACAAATATGCACGATAATTTAATAAAAAAATGTGATAGAGTGACTGGGCATCTCTTTTAGACCCTGTTGTCACAGTAAAGGCCTCAGAAGAGGGGAGGTTTGAGCTGAGCTCCCAAAACAAAGTTGCCAACTCTGCAAAGGGACAAATAGCCTAGGGTGGCAAAAGATAGAAAGCCTATGTTTACCACTAGAGCAGCCTGTTTCTTTACTTTTTTTTTTTTTTGACCACGCTGTGCGGCCTGTGGGATCTTAGTTTCCCGACCAGGGATTGAATCCGGGCCCTCTGTAATGAAAGCTCAGAGTCCTAACACTGGACTGCCAGGGAATTCCCTGTGTTTCCAGGGAATTCCCTGTGTTTCTTTACTTTTGATAATGGTGTTCTTAGTGCCTAACATAATGCTTGGCTTTGAATAGGTGTGTATATAATAATAATAATGGTAACTTTTTAGCATAAACAAATGTACTAAATGTTTATTTGAATTATCTTGGTTAATTCTTACAAGACACAGGACAGAAGAAGAAAATTAAAGAGATGCTAAATAATTTACCCACAAGCATGCAGTAGAGAAGTGGTAAAGACCAAAACTGACCTGCACCCAGAATTCACTGAACTTCAACATCTGAAGTGCTTCCTAAAAAATTGCAGCTTTTAGCATCAAACCAAACAAAATGAATTAGAATCTCAGCGGGTAGGGATTTGGAAACCTGAATTTTTAGCAAGCCAGCCAGATGATTGTAATGCACCCTGAAGTGTAGGACCACTCTGCTTTGTTGTAAGAATGAATGAGAGACAGGTCCTCTGCTATTTGTACTACTTTGCCCCACATCTTACAAATTCCTAGACCCCTAAAGTCTATAAATGTCTATTCTCTTAAACTTCAATCCCTTATAATGCTAATCAGATCAGCTTAACACTGTGTTACAAGAAAGAAGAAATCTCAGGATCTCCTGAGTCCTGCAGGAAGGCTAAAAAAAAACAAACAAACCACCTTGACAAACCCCTACCACCAGCATTCTCCCACCCGGCATCCACTATCTCTACTCTGGTTTTAACCTAATCAAGAGGATGACCACCCCAGGGACATCAGGCCCTGTTTACCAGTTCAGGTAAGTTCTGGAGTCAGCCTTAAGATCTGACTCCTCTGCTGAGCAAGCCAATCAGGACCTCTCTCTCTCCAGCCCCCATCCCAGCTACCTAAAGCGGACCCACCTATGTAGGCTAGTCCTTCAACTGCTCCCCCTGGGGAAGGGGAGGCAGGGATACCAAACTGACGGAGACCTGGGGTTGAGCCACCTTGTCCCTGGGAACCAGGCTGGGGCCAAAGACAACCCCAGAGCAGAGGAATGCTCATCTTGGCATGTGTGGCTTAGGTTTAGGGTGGCCAGATAAAGTACAGGATGCCCATTTATGTCCTAAATATTGCATGGGACATGCTTACTCCAAAAAAGTATTTGCTGTTTATCTGCAGTTCAACTTTAACTAGGCTTCCTGGGTTTTATTTGCGAAATTTGGTAGTCTACTTGGGCCACAGGCTCTCAGACCCTTTGTAGGCGCGTTCAACGGTGGGTAGTGTCTCCACAAACATCTTGAGCATCTGATTAGAAGGAACACTAAGGGGTGGACTTAAGGGCATGGGGTGGCTATAATAGGGAAGCCCAGTGGGTGTGCGGGAGCGTGCAGGGGTAGTTAATTCACTTTTTAATTATCAGAGAGTAGAGGTTTGATGGAGCTCCTGTGAGGGACTCGGTAGTTTCGGTACTACTTATCTCCCTCACTGTCCCCAAATATGTGACCAGAACTACTGTCCTATTCTGTGACGCTCTCGGAGACATCTCATGTGTCCCAGCTGTCCCAGCCGGCTGGGTTCAGAGCCCCAGCCCGCGTCCTGGGGCCCCTCCTCCCTGTTCGCGGCGCTGGCCACGCCCCACTTTGCTATCCTACCCTTTTCTGGGTCAGCTGGTGCTGGCGTCAGGCGGAGGGATGGGCTGGCTCAGCTCGACCCGGCAGGGCTTGTTTACTATGGCTGATGATCTGGAGCAGCAGTGAGTTAATCCTGTCTCTTTCTCTATCTCTATCTCTGGGCCATGAACCTGGGACTGTCTGTGGCTGAGGAACAGTTTTAGACACCTTCCAGACTTTCCTTTTTCAGGTCGGCTTCAGGGGAGGGCTGGGGGGTTGCGTTTGGTTGCTTTCCTTTTGCCCAGAAGATGCGGCAGCAGAGCCAGGGGAGCAATGGAAGAGAACGATTTCTACAGCCCAGCGGTTCTGACTTTCCACTTTAGTGTTCGCGTTCATTCCTTGCTCCCCTCTAGTCTATGTACCCTGGGATTAGATTTAGTGGTGATGTCTCAGATTCCCCCAAAGCAAGCGTGTGGACGCGGGTGCGGGGGTAACAGCCAGGTCTGCTCGTCTGGATTTGCTCCAGGTCGGGAGGCAGGGGTGTGGGAAGAGCCTCGCTTAGCCCAGCCCAGCACGGGTAAGGCGTGGCAAGCGGAGAGCGGGCTCCACTGCGCTGGGATTGGTCTGGGTTAATAGGATTGCAAGTTTCTTTCGCTCTCGCCAACCGAGACGCTTAGTCGCTGGCAATCCTTGTTGATAGTTTTTAATCATCATAACAATATCCTTAATGCTGCGGTTTCAGAATTAGAGCTTTTGGAATTTGTTAACACCGTCTCAAGGACATCAAGTTTGGGATGCCACCTGTAGGTGGTGTGACAAGCAGTTCACAGTCTGATAGGAGCAAGGAAAAGTTGCTTGGAGAATGACTCAGCTTCCAGCCAAGCGGGGGGCGGGGGCGCGGGGGGGGGCGTGTTCACCAAAACTGGGCCTTTCCTGGATCCCGTGTTCCCCCTTGTTCCCCCCTTTTCAGAGCTGTTTGCAAAACTAATTAACGTTATGACAATAATAGCTTCCTGGACTTGAAGGAACTGCCCAGGAGAGTGGTGTTTTTCCAAAATGATGCTTCCAAGAGATTTAAAATAGCTACGATGACTTTGAGAAATCGAATATTAGAGCTGGTAGAGATTCAGGTAGATCAGTTCCTTTTTACAAATGAAGAATCCAGTGCCCAAAGAAGTTAGGAGACCTCAAGATCACAGAGGTCTAGAACAGTGTTCTCACCCAGCACAGAACCCCTTCTGCCTCACCCACCATCAGGTTAAAGGCACCCTAAAGGGAAGAGACAACCCCAGCCAGGCTAAGTTCATGGCTAAGTGGCTGCTCTGCTTCTTGCCGGAATTCCCCAGCTCAGTCCTCACCTCCCCAGTGGTATGGAGCAGATAATGTGCCAGGGGCTATTTCCAGTGCTTTACCAGTAGCATTTTTGGTGAAGAAGAGAGGAAAAGCTCTCCCTGAAGAGTATCTCTGCAGAGCAGCCCTTGATGCTGTTCCTTGGAACAACATTTCTCCCGAGTGCTGCTTTGGGCAGATATAAGGCAATGTGGGGTCCAGATGACATGCCCTGACTTGTCACAGTCTCTGTGGGGTGGAGAGGTTTGTCTCTTAAGACTGGCAACATTCTGTGGTCTTGGTGCCCGTGCTTCAAGCCTATAAGGAATTCCAGTGGAATATTCAAAGGGTTCTGAGTCTTCGCAGGACTGCATTGATTGACAGTGACAGCTCTCATCTGGCTAAAGCCATTGATGGACCAGTTTCAGCTGCAACCTCAGTATTTCTTTCAAACCTCAGTCACTGAGATTTGCTCCTTGCAAAACACTGGGAATACAGATAGCTTATGATTTAGCTGGGGAAAAGAACATTTATTGGGACTTTATCTTGTGCTAGTGTGATGTCTCTGTGCCTTCATTCGTTTGATCTTTATAACAACCCTATGAGGTAGATACTATTATTACCTCCCTTTAAAGATGAGGAAACTGACAGAGAAGGCTAAATAATGTGTCCAAAGACACATTGCTGGTGAGTGGCAATGCCAGGATTAGAACTTCAGCCTCTGGCCTTAGGTCACACCTCCTTTCAGAAAACAGACAAGTGTGAAACTGTGCTTGTATAATGTGAGTATTCGTGTGTGGCCTTGAAAAAATAAGGCGAAACCTGGATTTGAGATCCAGGTTCTAGTTCTGCTTCTTTTTCTAACTAGCTGTATAACCTCTTCGGGCATCACTTTGCTCATCTGTAAAATAAAGAGTCTGGACTAGATTTCTAAGGAACTATTCTAATCTAAAATTCTGCACTTCAAATGATGTAGCAAGATGCCCAATGTGTGCCATGGGGGGGTTGGTAATAGTTCCCCTCGCTCCCCCGCAGAATTCCCCTGCTTGACTGTTCTGATGTTTACAGGCCCTTTCTGTAACTGGTGGTGTGGATCCTGAAATCCACTTCATCCAGACAGAGTTCAAGAAAAGAGAAATATCATATGGGATGGAAAAGGAATAATAAAAGCTCATTCATTGAGCATCTGTTTTGTCCCAGGCAACTTATGAGGTCCCTTCCATATCTAGATGCTCAAAGACAGGTTATTTAACAGGCCAACACCAGTCTGCTTGTAAATGACATTATTGTGACTTAGATCCAGGGTTTTTTTTTTTTTTTTAAAAGCATTTTTGGGGGGTTTGTTTGTTGGTTTGTTTTTGGCTGCATTGGGTCTTCGTTGCTGCATGTGGGCTTTCTCTAGTTGCGGCGAGCAGGGGTAACTCTTTGTTGCAGTGTGTGGGCTTCTCATTGCAGTGGCTTCTCTTGTTGCAGAGCACGGGGCTCTTCAGTAGTTGTGGCACGTGGGCTCAATAGTTGTGGCTCGCGGGCTTTAGAGTGCAGGCCCAGTAGTTGTGGTGCACTGGCTTAGTTGCTCCCCGGCATGTGGGATCTTCCTGGACCAGGGCTCGATCCCGTGTCCCCTGCATTGGCAGGCGGATTCTAAACTACTGTACCACCAGGGAAGTCCCTAGATCCAGGGTTTTTAAAAATTATTCCACAACTGCTACTTTCAACCTCTACCCTGCAATGACTTAAAGTTCCCTGGGTATAAAGTAGAAAGCAAGATAGGTTATCTTATCTGTTTTACTGCATGCCACTGGAGGTGATGACATGTGTGAGCTTTCTACTCATTTTATAAACTGGAAACAAGACCAAGGGCAACCTTTGTCCTGTCAGGGAATCACAGCAGGACTTGAACCCAGGTCTCCCTCATCCTACTCCCTGCCTCTCCCATCATGTCATTCAAGTCTGGACTGATTGATTGCCTGAGAGCCCAACTGGGCACTGACACAGTGCTCTGTACTTCCAGAGGCTTGGAAGAGGGCACACACAAACACTGGTGCCCTGCCAGGAGGGCAGGTGGCATGGGAATTTTCCCTACTCTAAGGGAACATACAGTCCTAGGGATGGCAAAGGAGAACTGAAACATTAGTTAAAAGTTGGCTTTTTCCCCCTTGTAACCTCTTTGAACATTATAATAACCAGTAACAAAGTGGAGTTGTAAAGCTCCAATGAGATAAAAAAAATGTGAAAGGGCTTTGTAAACTGTGAAGTGTTGTGCACATGGTATTCTGAGTATCTGTTGAAACAAAGGGCATGTTGTTGTTAATAACCATTTACCAGAGAAGAGTAACAGTCTATCAGGCAGCCATGGAATTGCTGACTGCCATAGGGGCAGGTTTCCTGAGCCTGGAAACATCCTGCACACTGATAACTCTTTTGTAACTAACTGCCGGCAAGCCTGAGAGCATCAGTGTTTCCAGCTTTGCCAGTGAGTGTCTCTGTGTCTCCCTGTCCCAGGCCTCAAGGCTGGCTGAGCAGCTGGCTGCCCACTTGGCGCCCCACTTCCATGTCTCAGCTGAAGAATGTGGAAGCCAGGATCCTCCAGTGTAAGTAGAAGGGACACTCGTCCCACCTCCCTCGGGAGGCCCAGGATACAGGATCTTCCCGGAGCCTGGCACACTGAGCCCACTGATTCCTGATTGACGATGCTTGGGGTGGGAGGAAGGGATGTCTGTGACTGGAGGGAAAAGATTTGCCCAGAGGACACACATTCCATGATAGTGGTTCCTTGACATCTCCCTCCCTGTCCATCATGCTGGTTTCTGTCACATCCCACAACTTCACCTCAAACCCTGTACCAACTATTAACATACAACATGTACAAATGTACGCATTCTCTCCTTTACTTCTTCCTTCTCCTATTCTTTTCTTTTGCCATCTCTCCCTTTCTCATCAAATTTACCATCTTCCTACCCAAGGACCAGCAGTCCTGTATTCTCTAATATTACTATTCCTTGTGTTCTGCCCAATTAGCGCCCCCCACCCCACCCCACCATCCAGTTACCAGAGTGGTTAGGGATTCCCACAGACCAGCTCTAGTGGGCAGTGTTCTGTGGGGGTTAAGGCATCCCAGGGACATCAGCAGCCACCGACTCAAACAAGATCCTTGGGCCACATCTCCCCGTATTCCTCATATGATCTTCCCCGCCCTATAGCCACTGCCCCAGCCATGGCTACTCTCTCTCTTATGGGCTAAGTACAACCACAGAACAGCCACAGTTTTCAAGCCTTTCAAGCTGTCTGGGATCCAGGTGACTTCCCCCCCCCTCACCGCCCCGGCAGCTCTGTCATGTGACTGCCTTCACACCAGCAGTGCAAGCATTGCCCACCTTGGTCTGTCCCTAAGAGGGACCTGGCTCAACCCTCCCAGATACCCTCAATGAGGACACTACTGTCCATGGGTCAAGCCCCAAGCACATACAGGTACAAGAGTGATCGATGCTGAAGCTCTGTGGGGTCAGTGGGGTCACTGCCACCATGGACCCAAAGGGACCCAAACAGCCTCAAGGAATAGGATGGCCCCTCTTAATACCTACAGACTAGACGGTCTACAAATTGTACTTGGAGTTGAACTCTTAGGATGTATGGTCAGAGAGTTGTGAAAGGAAAAGCGAGGGAGGTCAGGAAGGGTTTGGGGATGAGAGAGAACTGAAGAGTGGGAGTCCAAGCAAAAGGATGATGCTGTCAGCACACAGTCTTATTGCTCTGCCCTGGACCCCTCTCCCCAGGCCTCCAGAACAAGTTCCTGGCCCGATATGTGTCCCTCCCAAACCAGAACAAGATCTGGACGGTGACAGTGAGCCCTGAGCTCAGGGACCGCACCCCCCTGGTGATGGTGCATGGCTTTGGGGGCGGCGTGGGCCTCTGGATCCTCAACATGGATTCACTGAGCGCCCGCCGCACTCTGCACACCTTCGATCTGCTCGGCTTCGGGCGAAGCTCTAGGCCAACGTTCCCGAGGGACCCAGAGGGGGCCGAGGACGAGTTTGTGGCCTCTATAGAGACGTGGCGGGAGACCATGGGGATCCCCAGTATGATCCTCCTGGGGCACAGTCTGGGAGGATTCCTGGCCACTTCCTACTCAATCAAGTACCCTGACAGGTAAGGGAGAGCCACCCATCTCCATCACGACAACTCCTCGCCCTGCTGGGAAACTTCCGGTATTTGTTTCCAATAGTTCTCTTCCTGGGTGATTTAAGGGCTGTGATACCTTCAAGCAAAGACAACTTGACTCCTCCTTTTTCCTCCTTTAGAGTTAAACACCTCATCCTGGTGGACCCATGGGGCTTTCCCCTCCGACCAACTGACCCCAGTCAGATCCGTGCACCCCCGACCTGGGTCAAGGCTGTGGCCTCTGTCCTAGGGCGTTCCAATCCACTGGCTGTTCTTCGAGTAGCTGGGCCCTGGGGTGAGTAGCCTATAGATGAAAAACTATCTCCTCAAGCCACGGCTCTCCCATTCTAGAAGCCCCACTGCACCTGGACTCTCACCATTCCCTCTTGTTCATGAAAAGTGGGAATAGGCCTAACATTGTTATTTAAAGCTGTTAATCTGGACCAGATGTCTTTGTCTGCAGTTTCAGAAGGTTCTTTTTTTCCTTCAGCTGCATGGAAAAAGCTTTTCCATGCAAGAGACAGATGGAGCAGAACTGCTACTCTGTGCCCCAGAGAGAGAGGAAGGGGCTGTGAGGTGACTCTTCCTCTGCTGAGTTTCTGTGCTACATGTTTATGGCAGCTTGTTGGTGTTTCAGCGTGGTCACCACTGCTGGATCCCATCCCTGCAGCTCACCCAACACCTGTTGCCAGGAGAGGTCAGGACCAGAGCCTCCAGCCTAGCCCACAGTGGCAGGCAAGCTCCTGCCCCAGTCAGACACCACATCTTCACCACTTAGTAGCTGTCAGCAAATCCTGTGAGTGAAGGGAGGGAAGGAGGGGGGAGCCAGCCAGAGTGAGTGGGATCAATATGCCCCAGCCTTCTGACCTCACACTGCTAGCACCCTCCCTATCTGGGGAGCCTTTTACTCTGATAAAGCGAAAAGCAGATTCCCTTTACGGAAAAGATTGGTGGCCATCTATTTTGCACTGATGGCTTATATATACACAGTAATGTTCAATAGCCAATTATTATGAATTAATTGCTAATGGCTGAATAAGAGTTGTCTCTCTAGGCCCTTCAAGAGAAACAGAATGGCTCTGGATAAAAGAGAAAAATGAGCACTTGAGCAGAAGGTAGGAGTTTGGGGAGAAAGGAAGGAAAGCAAGAGACACAGGTGCCAAAGGATACTAAATGCGCAGAGGGCTGACCTTAGGGCACCCAGCACTGTGCACTCCAGCAGACCTGCTATAATCCTTTTACAGGGAGAAGCCCTGCTCTAACCGCTCTCCCCATTTCTGGACGCGCCTCTGGCCAGGTCCATGCATGGGCATCAGAGCTGTTATGGTTGGGGAGGTTGGCGGGCAGCCATGCAGGAGGACCAGGGCCCAGGGGATCCCGGCTTTGCTTCCCTCTCACCCCTTGCTTCTCACACAGAGACAGCAGACCAGAAGAGAGAGGCCAGAAGCTGATCATTCATTAGGCCCAATTTTTACAGTGTGTCTCAAGTGCCCTACTGCTTGTATATGTACTATTTAAAGAAAGGTGAAGGGAACAGATTGCTCTAAAACTGTGCCCCGAGTCTGAGATGCCAGCATTAGGTTTACCTCTTCACTCGTATTCTATTACAGGCCTGAACGTGAGAGGGCTCTTGGGAGGTGGTCTGGTTTCATCCACTACCTTCAGAAGATTAAACGGCCATAAAGGGTCTCAGGGAGAAAGAGAACATAGCTCAGACTGTAAAAGCAAAGCATCTCAACCATGGACTCCAGTGGGGCTTGTGATCCTTGGAGAGAAAGATCTTGGGACTTCATTGAGCTGCAGATAATCTGGTTCCTCAGTGACATTAGGCTGTCTAAATTCTTTGGCAGCTAACTGACTCTCATTTGTAGTCACCTGGAGCTTCCCAAAAGACTTGCATGCTCTGTCTGCCACTATAACATTAAGTGTACAAAGCAAACAAACCCCTAGGAGAAATAATGTTTGGTTAAAGTTGTTAACACATACAAAAGCAGGAGTCTTTCCTCCCTATTCAAATCGGCCTCTCCATGTTCTGTCCCCTCCCAGGGCCCAGCCTGGTACAGCGATTCCGACCAGACTTCAAACGCAAGTTTGCAGACTTCTTTGACGATGATACTATATCGGAGTATATCTACCACTGCAATGCCCAGAATCCCAGGTGAGGGCAGCTTCCAGAGTCAGCTCAGGTCGATGGGTTGGCAGCTAAAACTCGAGCTACTGGAAAACTCCAGAACAGTCCCAGGATCATTCTGTGCTCTATTTCTTCTTCCACAGAGCTCTCATTCAGTTAGGGGAACATAGGCATTAGCAGGCTTGATGGTTTCCAGAGACTTTCCCAGGGATAGGCGCAAAGGGATGGAGAAGATAATAGATAAATTAAACATGCCGCCCATCTCTAGAGAAGGATCCTTACTCTTTCCTGGAGATAGGCAGTTAGCCTGACAGGCAAAAAGACTGGAAAACATTTGCAAAGATCTTTTTTTTTTTTTTTAACTGAAAAAGTGATATGAACATGGTATTTTTTTTTGAATTTTATTTATTGTTTTATACATCAGGTCCTTATTAGTCATCCATTTTATACACATCAGTGTATACATGTCAATCCCAATTGCCCAATTCATCACCCCCCC